ACCACATTTTCTTGCATGAAGGCTCTTGTATCCAGAATTTATTTTCATGTGCTTGAATCCTGAACTTGTGGTGAAACCATCCAGAAGTTGTGCTGTTGTAAATATCTAGCATGCATCCACTACACCCAAAGAGTCTCTTTGTTCCTCGAAAAATCCCAACAAATAGATACCTTAGCTGCAAAATCTATATAAGAAATTCTATGTAAATTAAAACCACCTTCTGCATAAGGAAGTGTAACTTGACTCCATTTAAGTTGAGACATTTTTCTTGAATCCAATTTCCCACTCCACAAAAAATGTTTAAATTTTTTCTCTAAAGTAGTAATACAGCCCCATAGAATTTTGAATCCAAAAACCTAGTGATACAAGAAAGAATATAAGACTGATCTGATAAGCTCAATTCTACCTGCAAGTGATAAATTTATTGTATTCTAATGATCCAGCCTAGCATTAACTTTGTCAAATAAACCTTTGCAATCAACACTCTTCAGAACTCTATTTACTAGGGTAATACAAAGATATTTTATAGGGAAATCTTCATTCTTCATTTGCAGTATCTGTAAGATCCTTCTCTTCCCTCTGACAGCCTTAGAGAAAACAACTGAACTCTTATCTTTGTTCACTTCAAGCCCAGAAACTCTATGAAACCTTTGAAGCACCTCATCAACTATCTTAGCAGTAGGAATATCTACTTTCACAATAATAAATAAATCGTCTGTATAAAAGGAATGAGAAACTAACATACCAGTCTTCTGAACCACCTTGCACAGCTTGATATGTCCTCCCATAATTTTTTCATGTATAAGGGTTGAGAAATGATCAGTAATTAGGGTAAAAAGAAGAGTGGACAGAGGGCAACCCTGTCTAATCCTTCTCTTAACAGAGAAAAAACCAGTAGGTGATGTGTGTCAGTTTATTACCACTCGCAATAGCACAAATCTTTGTAGGATAATACTATATAGAGGGTATCGATCCCACAGGGAGATGAGTTTTCTTTGCTTTATTTTTAACTAATATCTTGGTTTACAGATAACTGGTTTAATTAATTAATTGTTTGGTTGTCATGAACATAAAATAAAATTAAACTAAAGTGATCACAGAGAGAGAGGTCTTAGGGCTTTGACTTTACCACAACCTTCATAATATGGTTAACTATTTCAACTCTAGGGATTTAACAATTTATATTTCAAATGAATTGAACTCAACAACATTCTTTCAATTCGGTTTTTAAAGAAAGATGTTTTATAAATTGTAATTAACTATAACCTATCTGCGGTTAGCATGGACTATCCACCTACCTACTTTAACTAATTTTGTAAACAATCCATCTTTCCTAAGCATAGACTATGAAAACATTCATTTATAAAAAACATTGGAACACCATTACATGATTTCTATTCTTATGTTGAGTATAGTTAATAAACAGTTATATCTAACATAAGGTAATAACAATTCAAAAACTATTAAAACTTTAAAGATCCAATTGAGTTGTCTCAATTGCTCATAATCATGTAATCAGAAATATACTATATATTAAAAATATCCAGAGTTAAAATAATCAAACAATAGTAATCAGATGGGTTACATCAGTGCCCTAAAAGAGGAATTAGCTACTCATGACGATGCAGAATATCATCAGATGGGTTGCATCAGTCACGGACGGCACTTCTCTTCTCAAGATATTCATCTTCTAAGGTTATGGAAACCCTAAAAGCTTCCACCACAATATTAGCCTTCTGAATAATACAAGCATAAACAATTTCTTCTATCAAGACCTGTGCCTTCTTTTATAGAAGAAAATAAAGGTTTGATGGGCTTTTAGGTCTCTGGCCCATTTGGAGTGAGATACGATTTAGAAAAGAATAATCTCGTAACTTTAAATCTGATCTGTTCTAGAAGGCTCAAGCTTAAGAAGTGGAGCTCGAGCTTTATGAGCAAAGCTTGAGCTTTCTGGAATTCTTGCTCGAGCTTCAATGGATGGTGCTCGATCTTTAATTTTGTACTTAGTCAAATTTCTTCAACTATTTTCCAAAATGTCTTTCCCTTCAACACTTAGAATATTTTGGGGTTATCTTCTTTTAACATTGCTCGATCTAAGCTTCATAGCCTCTGGCCAAGCTCGAGCTTTTGGTACTCAAGGCTCGAGCTTTGAATGATGGTGCTCGATCCTTGAGGTTTGGCATGAGGCCCTGGGAGCTTGGTTTTTTTCTTTAAAATCAACTCTTCAAATTTCGACGCCTCATGCTCAAGTTTGAGGGCCAAGGCTCGAGCACCCTGGGTAAGGCTTGAGCACCACTGAGTAGGGCTCGAGCTCTGAAGGTACAAGGCTCGAGCTTCAATGCCTTGTTGATTTTCTTCTTTTTCTTGCAGGGCTCGAGCCTCAAGACTTAGGCTCGAGCTTTGGTACTTGAATTCTTCCAAACTTTGCCATTTAAGCTTTCGGCTTGCATTGAATGACCGGCAACAACTCTGTAAGTTTCGATATCAGGTTTTTTCATCATAAAGTCCCGATTTTAACTGTTTCTCTGGGAAAGTACTTATAAACACACAATAAGCATAAATCAGTCTAACAATGGATAGAAGTATCACTTTAGGCCTTAACACTACGTATATTTAGGGGCTCGAATATATAATATTCAGTGCTCATCAGTGGGCACCCTATTACAAAGAGCAAAAAACTTAGAAGAGGTCACACACTGCATAATCCACTTAATCCATTAAGCACTGAAACCATAAACCTGAAGAGTCTTATAAATAAATTCCCAACTATCTGAATCATAAGCTTTCCTTAAATCAACCTTTATAGCCATAGCATGGCTTGTTGTCTTCATCCTAAAATTCTTGATCACATCAGTAACCAACATAATATTATCATGGATTCTTCTTCCCTTAATAAAAGCAGACTGTTCCAGCCCCACAATTTTTGGAAGAATAACACTTAGTATATTTGCCAAAATTTTGGAGATAATTTTGTAACTAAGATTGCATAAGCAATAGGTCTGTAGTTCTCTAACTTATCACCATGATTTTGCTTTGGAATCAAAGCAAGGAAAGTATAATGTATACCCATAAGCAGCACATTAGTAGTAAAGTAATGTACAACAGCATTAATCAAATTAGGACCTACAAATTGACAGTATTTCTGAAAAAATCTAGCTGGAAAGCCATCTGGACCAGGGGCTTTGTCTGGACTAAAAGCTATTACCACTCTTTTAATTTCCTCAGATGTAACCTCGCTATCTAATTCTTGCAAATCTTCAACCGCTAGCTATTTTTTAGGGATAGCAACTTCTGACACAACAGAAACCTTAGCAGCATACAATTCTTCATAATATTGAACAAACCAATCCTTGATCACTATAGGATCAGATGATATATCCCCACCAGAATGCTCAAACAAGTTATTACATTGTAACATCTCCTTTGTTTGACCATATTATGAAAATAAACAAAACACTTGTCACCTTTTTTAAGCCATTTTACCCTTGATTTCTGATATCATAAAATTTCTTCTAAGTCCAGGGTTGATTGCAGCTTCAAAGTGGCCTCCCTCTCCTTAGAAATCAATGCTTGATTCATAGGATCTTCCAGCAATTCCATTTGAACCTTATGTAAATCCTCAGTAACTACTTGAACCTGCTCAGAAATCTTACCCTTCTTCTTATTCCAGTCTCTAACAGCAGCTTTCATAGCTCCAAGCTTCTTCTATAGCTTATGTAAAGGGTTCCCTACAACTGAATCATTCCACACTTTGAACACCAACTCCTCCACTTCTTGTTGGAAACACCAAATTTTTAAGAACTTAAACGGTTTTGGCCCAACTGCACAGTCTAAATACCAAGTAACTGCCATCCCATAGTGGTCTAATAGAGAAGCAGCTGTCAAATTCACTTTAGTGTCAGTAAATTTATGTATCTATGCCTCATTTGCAAGAACTCTATCTAACCTTATATTGATCCTTCTATTTCTTTCTTGCTTATTGCTTCAAGACCATCCACCATTATTAATAGGTAGCTCCTCCATTTGGATATCCTTGATCACTTGATTAAATTCATCAAAAAGATGCTGAGGCACTCTCAATCCCCCTATATTTTCACAATGGAACCAGAGATATTCCAGTCCCCTATAGCAATCAGTCACATTAGCCTGATCTGTAAGGTTTCTCCATAAATTCCTTCTCTCTTGCATTGTATTGGCATTATAAATGGCACAAATAAAGACAACCACTCCAGTAACAACATGTCTAACCTTGAAAAACATCACTTGGGTATCTTCCTTAATAAGCTGCACTTCAAACACCGCAGGATCCCAAGCAATCCAAATTTTTCCCAAAAGATGAGAAATATAATTATCCAACCAATTCCATCTAGGATTAAATTTATACACCACCAGTTTGTTTACCTCTAGTAACCTTATCAGAAGGTGGAGCTTGATACCTCTTCTTAGGTTTCAGATTCTGTTCTTTAGTTTGCTCCTGTAACTCTAGACCAGTACTATTTCCACCTTTAACACTACCTTCATTGTTTTGATTAGCCCCTTTTGAATAAGAAATTCCATGCTTTACTGCTGAAACTTCCTCACTATATATGGCCTGCTGTGACACTTCTAAATTTTCCTTTAAACTCACTTCCTTAGAGACCTCATCCTCAGGGATTGTCAAATCATACACAACCCTAGTTATCCCCACATCCTCTTCATCATTCTTCTTCAAAGTAACATCCATATTAGGAATCAACTTCCCTTGAACAGGGCTACCAAACTCCAGTTCAGCAATAACCCTCACACCTTCATTCCCTTCTATTATAGCTGTTGTATTCTCAAAAGGCAAATCCCAAGAATCTAAAACCAATCCCTCGTCAACCCTCACTTCTTCATACTCTTCTATTATATCTTCTGTGTGCTCACCAAGCACATCAAAAGAATTGGACACCTCCAAATTTGTAGCTATACTAGAAGTTCCTGGAATAGAACTACCTTCAGAACCTCTTTGAGGCATTTTATCAACCACCTTCTCGGCAACTCCAGTGTCCACCATTTTCCCTTTCTGTTTTATCACCCACCATTTTCTTCATTTTGGTTGGTATAACTTTCTTTGGACAATTGCCGACCACATGATCAATCCTTTTACACAAAGAATATACCCGAGGCTTCCACTCATATTCAAAAGATACATTACAATCCAACCCATGCATGTCAACCACCATATTCTCCGGCAAAACCTCAGAAATACCAACTTCTATCATGACACGAACAAATCCTTCTTTGTCTCTGTACTTTTCTGGATTATCCATATAAATTGGGTGAGAGAATGAAGAACATACCTTTGAAACCGAAACAGCATTGCGACAATGCATAGGTAGGTCATGTATACGAGTCCAAATAGGAACCAAATCCAAAGCTTCTCTTTCTAAGACCACATTCTTGCACCCTTGTTTCATATTTATCAATCTCCCTTCAAAGGTGTCAATCCTAGACAGAACTTGTTGCACCAAATCTTCATTTTTAAACCGAACCATGAAGAAGCCATTCTTTAAATATACTAACATGATATCTTTGTCCCATCGTTTCTCCACAAACGCCTTGAAATGGTGGTAGTATGGCTGAAGACCCAACACATATCCCACCACTAATGGCTTCCAATATTCTATTTCATCTGCTACATCTTCAATAGAAATAAACACCTTTGATCCACGACAAGAGCTGTGATATTGCAAATTAGTAAAGATAGGAGAAGGGGAGGTTGAAGAAGCAAAGCAACTTCTCCATGACAGCTTTGGTTGAGTAAGGGTATCATGCTTGCTCGGAGACACAGCCGGCGGTGTAGGGAGGAGGGGCTGCCCTCCTCCATGTAGGGGAGAAAGGGCTGCCCTCCTTCAAATGCTGAAAATTTACGTGGGACTAATTCCCTAAGTAGGTTTATATAATAATTAATGTAAACTATAAAAAATGATCATATAACAAAGTAATTGTACATGACTATAGCATGTACAGTTACTATATGTCTTGGGGTATGATAATTCATCACCACTCCATTAGTTACAGTAGCTTTTTTTTTTTATTTTTTTTATTTTCAGGTTTCAGGAAATTGTTCCCCTGAATGCATGAAATATTCTTGTGAGCGAGAACAATGAACCTGCAGCAAAAATGGCCAGCCCTTATAAGCCAACCACTTAACAAACCATGAACCCTCCTGACTCTGATTCAAGCCGTAGTTCGAAACAATCACACGCTTCTTCTCTAGATAAGGTACTTTAGATTATGTAATGCTATGTTATGTTACAAGGACTTGAAAGGAATTACAAATTTGTGTATCTAATTTTGAAGGCTAGTTTCGGCATTATAAAAATACCACTAAACCTTGAATCATCGTATTGTTTTTTACTCTCACACACGTTGTTCCAAGGTCGCGTCAACGGAACATGTCGACCCGCTCCACCATCACCACCGACGGCGCCACCACCACCACCACCGGTCCAAACCCTACCCCACATATCAGACGAATACGTCGTCTTTCTAGATCGCGTCAACGGAACATGTCGACCCGCTCCACCACCACCGGTCCAAACCCTACTCCACATATCTCAAGACACGGTTTTCTGCCTCCAAACCCTACCCAAACCCACCAACTCCACACCTCCGACTACATCAACTCCGACGACGAGGACCTCTTCAACTCCATCACCGATCGTATCGCCAATCAACACGAAGAACACCAAGCCAACCGGTCATCTCCTACCTCCAAATCATTCATCGATTCGCTACAATCCCTCAAATTTTTCCATGCTTCTTCATCCCATTCTTGCCCAAGAACCTGCTCAATCTTTAGGGATGACTCTGAATTTTTTTCAGAGGTGAATCAATTGCCGTGCAACCATGTTTTTCATCCAGATTGTATTGTTCCGTGGCTTGGTAGGAGAAATTCGTGCCCCCTGTGTCGGTACAAGTTACCGGTGGAGCAAAATCCGAAGCAGTTGAAGAGCTATGTGGTGAGATTGGGGAATGTTGACTTGGAGGGGTGGGGTGGGGTGAGAATCAGGAGAGCGGTTTTCATGATGCACTGTTAAGGAATGGGTTTGTTCAGGCAAGGATAAGGTCGGTGCCTTCTTCGCGTATGGGGCAGATTGGGAGTGGTTTGGCAGTGACTGGAAATAGTGAGGACTCGGTTTCAAGCCCCTTGGTGCAAAGGGAGAGTGATACTATGGTTGATGAAGATGGTGACACTTTGATGCTTGATGCATGACTCATGACTCAGTCTTTTTGGTATGTGACCTTCTGTTGTTTGATACTTGTATTATCATTAATTTTTCATGTGATGATATATGTTTATGTGAAATTTTATTGTAGTTGTAAATCTTGGACTGTCATTGAGTTTGAGCTTTTGGTTGAAATAACTTGCAGTTAATACTTAAAAGAATTTTATGGTGTACTTGTGGTTGGGGTTGAGAACTATAGACTAGTTGGTATCTTTGATATGTTAACTAGAAGCAGAACACCAATTCCGACCTACATCAACTGCATGTCGTTCTTGTTGTTTGAATTATTTATTTTGCATTCTGTGGTTGTTAAATGTGTTACCTGGTTTAAACTTATCAGTATTGCGTGGTTTAAACCTAAGAATTGTTTTTCCAAATTTGGGACATGACAGAAAACTTTACTGAAAAAGAGTCGAGTTGTTTTAGCAAAAGTTGCTATTATGTAGAAGTAATAGATGGCACTAGAAATTGACCTAGTCATGTCCTATTATATTGGGCTAAGTGTAGAAGAGATGGCAGCTAGCTTGATGTTGATTTTCTAGGTTGATGTACTGAAACTGAAAGTCTGAAACTTCACTGGCTACTGGGTCAGTCCAAAACTATTCATTGAATCTGATATTCAATTACCTTAAATTTCTAAGAGTTCTTGTTTGTTTGTCCGCTTGAATCGAATGGATTTGTTCACAATTTGACATAGCAGTCCAATGTAGAAACTTGCCATCGTGAATGGATCCATTTAAGGAAATAGTAACCACCACAAAAATGAACTTATGTGGAAAAAAATATTGTGAAGTTCCTTTTCTTTTTCTTTTTTTACAAATTATTTTTATTATTTTTTATGGTTCCATTCAAGATGATGGAAGTTTTACACTAATGCTCCGTTTGGTACAAAGGAAGAAAATTGTAATACCCCTAATTTTAAAAGGATAGTCTCGGTATTTATTTATTTATTTTTATTGTATTTTTTTAATTGTTTAATTGATTATTTGACTAATTGTTTATGTGTTTAATTGATTTAAGTGTTACTTGGTTCATTGGCTACTTATCTATGTGTTATTTGTATTTTGTCTAGGTGTTATTTGTATTATTTGTTTAATTAGATTGTGCACTTAAATGATGTATTTGATTAATTGTAATTAATTATAAATTAAATGATTAAATGTTTTATTTTATTTTATTTTATTTTATGGTTATGATTAGTGGTAATGGACTAACTAATTGGGTCCCACGGACTACTTGAATAGGAGGTTGGATGGGTATGGATAATTACCCATGGATAGTTGTATATGTATATATATAGATATATATGTATATACATATATATAAAAAGGAAAGTAATTTATTAATATTATAGTAACTTTAGTATTAATAAATAATCTGATGTATATATTTTATATATTTATATAATAAGGATATACATATATTTTATACGTAACATGTTTTAAGTTACCTTTTTAATATTATGGTAACTTTAGTATAAATAAATAATCTGATGTATATATTTTATTTATTTAATAAGGATACAGATAGATTATATATGTAACATGTTTTAAGTTACCTTTTTAATATTATAGTAACTTTAGTATAAATAAATAATCTGATGTATATATTTTATTTATTTAATGAGGATATAGATAGATTATATACGTAACATGTTTTAAGTTACCTTTTAATATTATGGTAACTTTAGTATTAATAAATAATCTAATGTATATATTTTATTTATTTATATAATAAGGATATACATAAATTATATACGTAACATATTTTAAGTTACCTTTTTAATATTTTTATTTTTTATTTTTCTTTATTAAGTTGACTTGGATTGGGAAAAGGAATAGGGTTATTATTTAGCCTATAAATACACAACTATAGGTTGAAAAATGAGTGAAAATATATCACGTAATATATTCTATAGAGAAAGAGTTAGAGAGAGAAGGAGAAAGAAGAAGGAATGAGGAGAAAACCCTGTAGAGAGAAGATCAAGGAAGAAGAAGTTTAACTTTCGATTCGAAAGTTTAAGGCAAGTTCTTCTTCTATCTCTTTCCCTTTGATTTGTGTTTCTGTACATGCCTAGGAAATTCCAGAATTTATTAAACACATAAAATTAAATAATTATGCATGTTTAATTGGGTTAGAACATAGGTTTTATGAAATTGGTTTATATCTGTTCTTGTGTTATGAATTGATAAAATGCATGATTTTGATTTGATTTCTTATGTGAATTTTTACATGTTTAAATTATGTATTTTTCATATCTGTGGAATGATGGAACATAGAAATATACCTAGGATTCCTGAACATTAAATAGGGACTAGGTTTGGGTTTTCATAAATTTGAATATACTCAATCATAATGATGCTTGCTATTTGAATGTTTTAAACAAACGAATGGATTTAATCTTTTAAAATATTTTAGCAATTGAGATTAAATGTGTAGGATGAATTGGATATAGAGAATCATTATTTAACGGTATAATAAAATATCATTATGTATAAGATTCAGTTTGTGTAGGACATATGATATAGGAAGTTTAAAGAAATAATAAGTCATTCCTATTATGTGATAACTTGATATCATATTTATCATAGTTATTTATGGAATGTTTGATGTATTTCCTTAATTGTTACATCAATTGTTGGATTGTGTGGTTTAATGCACCGGTATGGGACGGTGGCATTCTAGGGATGGATTAACTTATCAGTTAAGTCCTACCTATTTTATATAAGGGAATGGATTAACTAAAATGTTAAGTCCTACTTATATTTAAGTCAGGTCAGCTGAACAAGTTGAATGACTTATGGAGGATTAATTTATTATATAAGGGAATGGATTAACTAAAATGTTAAGTCCTACTTATATTCAAGTCAGGTCAGCTGAACAAGTTGAATGACTTATGGAGGATTAATTTATACTGGATAGGATGGTTACTAGATTTTATATATATAAATATGGTGCCATGATATGAGCTTGAGTCTCAGGATCAATGGTTAGGGCGCGTATATCGCCAGGGATGTGTAGCTAGATATAGTGTAGTTGTGTACCCTGGTAGGTCTAGGTACTCATGCCCACTATATGTGCGTTTTGCATGTTGCCTACTATTCAGGTTGAGACAACCCTATAGTCTAGTGAGGTTCCTTTAGTGTGTGTATATATATATACGGACTATTAGTTACTGTTGGATTGATTAGGATGTATACGTGTATCGGATCTCTGCTTGGACTGTAGTAGAGTAGAACTTGTTTGTGGGCCTGACCCACCATTATTTTCAGGTGTTCGTCACGAGTAGAGGTTGTTCGTGCTGAGCGGGGATCAGTCTACTTCATTCTTCCGATGCTACATAGGAGTTCCTTTATGATTCAGTTTCCTGTTTTAGATTACTGTCATTTGTTTAGTTTGGATTTTCTAGGGGTCCACACAGTATGGATTCCCGAGTTGTTTTTTGGAGGATCAGTTGTATCAGAAGAGTTTATTAATTAATGGAAATATATTATGAGGTTTATTATTAGATTATCATTTTCTTTTTTGTCAGCATTTTATTTATTCTTCTTTGTTCTTTTGTACTCTGTGTTCGTTTATTATCAATTTGTTTTGATATCCTCGGGTATTCGGGCGTGGGCCTGGCCAACCCGCATTCGAAAATTCGGGGGTATCACAAAAATTGAATGGAAGGGAGAGAAGAAGAGATAGGCGAGACATCCCTAAGGAAGAAATTGTGTTCTTCCCTCTTTTTCTTTGGTTGGATGGAAGAGAATATAATGAGATAATACCTTATTTTGTTTGTTATGATAGAAGAGAAGAGAGAATGTTAATTATAAGGAAAGTTTTGTAATTAAAAACTTTTATAATAGCCTTGCCTTTTTTCCTTCATGTCTTTCGTCCATATTTGGAGGGATGAAAATTTGTGAAGGAGAAAAGATGACTCATCCATCATCTTTTCTCCTCTCCTTGTCTCCTCTCTACCAAACGAAGGAAGTTTGTTTCTTCCTTCTATCTTCTTTCAACCCCTCTTCCTTTGTTCCTACCAAATGGAGTATAAAATGCTAAGTAGATTGTGAATGATATTATTGAAATTCAAGGGATACCCAAACGGGCCCTAAGAGTATTCTTACATCACTTTTTCAAGTTGAATACTATGATCGAGTTTCAAAACTTTGATTAAAATCGCATGCACTTGCAATAATTAACAAAAAAAAGTGTTTCATGCAATGGTTGGGGCTTAGAATTGTGAAACAACTCTGAAGTCTTCTGAATTGAAATCATATGATGACTAGAAGGTGAATGTCTGCTGATTAAGTGGTTGGTTTTAATGTACAGGTTCTGTGTATATTCTCCATAAATCATGTCCTTCAAGCTGTTCTTCATGTGCCTTTATAACCTTTAGTTACTTTTGTTAATTAAAAACTTTTATAATAGCCTTGCCTTTTTTCCTTCGTGTCTTTCGTCCATATTTGGAGGGATGAAAATTTGTGAAGGAGAAAAGATGACTCATTCATCATCTTTTCTCTTCTCCTTGTCTTCTCTCTACCAAACGAAGGAAGTTTGTTTCTTCCTTCTATCTTCTTCCAACCCCTCTTCCTTCCTTCCTACCAAATCGAGCATAAAATGCTAAGTAGATTGTGAATGATATTATTGAAATTCAAGGGATACCCAAACGGGACCTAAGAGTATTCTTACATAACTTTTTCAAGTTGAATACTATGATCGAGTTTCAAAACTCATTAAAATCACATGCACTTGCAATAATTAACAAAAAAAAAAAGTGTTTAATGCAATGGTTGGGGCTTAGAATTGTGAAACGACTCTGAAGT